TCTCGACCAGTAGGAAATCGTCCAAGTAATGTAATACTGTAGGGCATCCGGCTATGTTCAATAGTAACCAGCATAGTGCTTCGGCAAATGTGTCGAAAAATAGCTGGGCTACTTTTGGACCCAAAAGTTAACCGGGAGAAAAAAATAGTAGTTCTCGGACCACTTGATGCCATGCAGGTGCCACAGTGTGGGGTGGATAGGGAGTAATTTGAAGGCGTTAGTAATGTCGGTCTTACTGAGCCAGGCTCCCACCCCTGCTTGTATGATGGCTGTAATGGCGTGATCTATGGCGGTGTATTGCAGAGAGAATTCCTCAGAGGGTATGAGGGAATTAAGACTGGGGTTGGCCGATGAGTGGGGAGCCGATAAGTCAATGATGAGTCTCTGTTTTTGGGAAGATTTCCCTGTGACAATACCAATAGGGTTGGTGCGCCATTCTGTGAATGGGGAGTTCTAAAAGGCCCCAATACAAAGCCCTCCTCCACTTCTTGGTTTATGAGGGTGTCAACCACTGTGGGGTTGTGTTGGGCGGATTGTAGGTTATGGGCATTCCAGAGTGCCAGCTGGTATGTGTAGGATACCTGTGTGGAAGCCTTCTGTTAAACCAGAAATAAGAAAATCTACCAGGTGTCTAGATGGGTGCTGAGACATCAATGCTGTGAATACTGGCATATTAATGGACGTAAGGTAAGGCTTAGAATAAATTTTATTTGGACACATGGTCTTAGCATGTGCCCTAAAACATTTTGAACAGACATGCAATAGTCTACATCCACTGTAATTACAAGACCCAACATTGAAATTATTACATATCTGGGACTTGCCCAGAAACTTGATTGGGCGTCCCAATTTGTCTTTGGATAGTTTCCCTGGATCCCCAGAGGAACTAGTTCCTTGTGTGGAGGCATGTCCATCTGCCGTGCTGGGACAAAAATTAGTAGTATGGGCTGTGGAGGAGCAGTATGCACAAGCTGGTGTTCTTAGACCTGCAAAGTGTCTGCAGAATAAGACGGTATCAATCCTTCCCCAGTTGGACCGTGTACCGTACTGGGAGAAGGCTCCAGCCACTTTTGCAGAAAAAGACCTATGGTAGTCATAGAATGCTGAACCACCATATTTGCTGCCCAGGTCTACCAGCTTGTGCATATAGAGATCAAACTCCTCTCTTCTGTTGGGATAAACCGCACAGACGACATCCCTGTAAATACCAAACGCTAGTACAAATTCAGGGATAGTCAGTTTCCTGTTCAGGCGGGCATCCCTAGATCTGACAATAACAGAAACATCATCATAAGCATACGCCTTATGTTCCACAATGTCCTGGGAGGCAATCAACAGGGAAGCCAGGTTGACGTCTTTACCTTCCAGGATATCCCTTTTGATATGCTCAGGTATCATGTGGGCCAGGCTAACTTCCTGGTCATCCAGGGGGCTGGCTGGAGCCACTAATGGCAAGGCTGGTGTTTGTACCGCAGCCGCGGGTGGCCCTGCTAGAGTGAGGGCCGTGGTGACCGACTCAAGTTTCTCCAGCCTGGAGTTGACCTTGCCCATGGATGCCATGAGTGAGGATAACATGGCATGTATGTCCCCTGGGTTGGACTGGCTAGATCCTTCCCTGGCTTCCATGTTATTGGTTGATGTGCGTAGCAGTTTGAAAAGTTCTGCCTTCCTCGCTGTAGCGGGGTAGGGGATTTGTCGTCTCCTTAATTCCGTGGTTATGCGCGGGATTGTCCAGGATCTAATTGATGCTGGACTAGCTAGCTCTCCTCCTTGTGTGGGAGTGACAGCTCTAGCCGGGGTGCTAGGCAAGGAGAAATCCTCTACCCCTTCCTGAGACATACTATAAATAAAACAATAATTAGTATATAGAACCACCAAATTGTACTGGCAGGCTAGCTAGGCCGGATGGCGAAAGTATTATGCTTGTTTGGTATTATACTAGTTGCCAAGCGGTTTGAGAGGCTCTATCTATGCGTTGGCGCGAGGGGTTATTGAGGCCACTTGACGTAGTGGCAGGAGTTTTAGGCCTCTCGGTGACTGTACGACAGAAAACAGGGGAAGGGAGTGACAGGTGAGGCCCTCTCTTTTCAACATGCGAGGCGGCTAGCTAACGTGTGGCCCGATGGGTGTTTGCCTCCGAAACGTTTGAGGCGGGGTGTTGGCCTCGCGGGACCACTAACTAATGGCTACAGCCAAGATGGGGTAAATACCTATTGGGAATCCTGTGACCCTATTGCCAGTACTCTAAACTAGGGGGATGAAATGAAATGTATGGTAGAATACCATATGAGCAGGTGTACGTACCTGGTAGTATGATAAATCACAGGAATAAACCGTGTGGAGCAATTATATAAGCTCGACAGCCTAAAAATGGGTAAAAGAGAGTAGTACGATGAGTGTGGGGTGTAAAAAGAACAGACTTATAGTCTGTAGCAGCAATGTATAAAATTATGTTGATACCATGGGAATAGCTATGAGTGGCTCAGAAATGTTTGCATGCTTGAATAAGACATCTGAGGGAGGCCGTGGCCTATGTACAAACAATCTATGTGTTACGTGATAATGGTGTGTAAAGGAAAACATGAAACGTAGGTTATATACATATGTATATGACTGTGTAGGGGACGT